AGGATTATCAGTCAACTTTTCATCAAACACGTAAATTTTGATATCATACACTGAATTGTGCAATTATAATAAAAGGTAAGGTTGAAGTTAATTTTTTGACTGTATTAGTTGAATTTACTGTAGAGGATCATTTTAACTATTTTTTCATATATTTTTTTTCTTTATTTTATTAATAAAATATATTTCAATTTTTTCGTAAATTAGCAAAATCAGTCAATCCAGCCACTTCAGTCAAAACTTCATATACTCCCTCTGGTTCTTAATTAAGTTTACACTTTGATTTCACACATATTAAGAAAATAAATTTACTGAGAGAAAAATTTTACTAGACAGTACACTGTTTTGACACTCTTTGACACTATTTTGGCATTGTTTTGCACTGTTAGTGTAGATTTGTTTGCCAAACAAGGTAAATAAGGAAACATAAAGTATAATATGGGACGATCCAAAATGAAAAGTGTAAAGTTAATTAAGAACCGGAGAAAGTATTTCAACAGAAAATCAGTCAATTCAGCCGATTTCAATATTACCAAATGGGCTCTTAATTTATTCAAATAATTTCTCCACTTTTAAGAACAGGTTCTTACTTTTTTATTAAGTATTCCGAAATAGTAGTAATAAGTTCTTATATATACTCCGTATAAAACATACTTCGTACTACCTACCACGTAAGAAGCAAATGTCCCTACATTTAATGAGTACCTTTAAGTCAATTCAAAAGGTTAATTTTGAAATCAAAGTACTCCGTATTATTTAGACATAATTAGCATAATACCAAATTAAGTTGGTCTAAGACGAAGAGCCCGTTTGATGACCTCTTTTTTCGGCTTATCAGATTTACAATCAACTTTTTCACTAAACACGTAATTTTTTATTTCGCACGCTGAATTTTGTAATAAGCAGAAAAAGTAAAGTTGGAGATACTTTTCTGACTATTCTGGCTAAATTTACCGTAGAGAATCATTTTAGCTATTTTTCATATTTTTTTTATTTAATTTATTAATAACAAATATTTTGAATATAATTTTTTCATAAATCAGCAGAATCGGCCAATACAGTCACTTTAGCCAGAACTTCATAAATTTCAGCGGAATCAGCCAATTCAACCAATTTTAGTGTTACCAAACGGGCTCTAAGTCAAAATTGATCATCTAACTAGATAATAAGACACACCATAATTAATAGTCCGTACGATAGTATGTGATATTATATTACTAGATATTGATTATATTTTAGAACATGTTGTTTTGACTTGAATTATCATGTCTAGCAGTCTAGTATAACCTTATGTCATTTGAATTGGCATGAAGTGGGTTAGGGAGCACGGGCAGAGCCCGGGCCTGAACAAATAATATTTTTAGAAGAAAAAATTATACGAAATTTTTTACCTTAAAAGAGTATTTAATTATGATTTGTTGTGTTTTAAAGTTTATTTTATTTTGATGTGATATAATCTAGTCTAGTGAGATTTATATATGATATTATGTGTATAATGTATTTTATCACAATGGAATGTAAGTCTGATATAATCAAGTCTAGGCTGCTCCTGTCAAATATGATCTATTATCAGATGATATTATCGATTTCAATATGAGTTAATTTGATATATACTTGATTAGTAAGCTATGGGTCTTTTTTGAGCTCATACTTTCTGATTCAATCTATATGATTTATGGATATGTTTAACACAACTAGCTGAAAAGATACTTTTGTTAGCTTTTTAATAACAGTTAGCTTTTAGTAACTGAAAATATCTTAAAAAAATGGTAGTTGTTTGGTAAAAAGCAGACTGTTAGATTTAGTTCGGATTGATATACAAGCTGTTAGGATTAATTAATACTAAAAGTCACGGGCTTTTCTCAGATGCTACTCCTTGTAGCATCTCAAAAAAGATCTTTTAATTTTTGAAAAGCTCTTAAAAATTGTCATGCCAAAGATACAACTACAAGCTTTTAGAGACTTTTTGAATAGTACAAAAGCTAGAATGTAGAGACTTATGTGTGTCAAACATATCCTATGTGTTAATGGTGTTATCATGGTTGGTCCTATGTATTTCAAGGCTTTAAGGCGAATTTTTGATGATGTTCGATGTATAATGTCATACTCCATACTACATATTTCTCCTGTTCCAAAAAATAGTTCTCGCATTAACTTGGATCAGAGTTTAAGAAAGTAAGAATAAAGTGAAAAAGTGAAAATGTATGATTATGATTGAGCAACAAAAAGGTAAATGAATGATAGTCAAACAAAACTTTCCTATAAAAGAAACGAGAACTATTTTTTGGAACATCCAAATGAAAGTGTGAACTATTTTTTGGGATGGAGGAGTAATAAGGAAATGAATCATTTCCTAATAACAACTACAACATCCAAGCGTTAATCCCAAAAGAAGTTGGGGTCGGCCAACATGAATCGATCAATTATATCAGTGCTAAAAGAGAAGAAAGATAAGGAAAAGTAAAGTAAGATAGGATAAAGATAAATATAAGATAACAATAACGTAAAAATATAAGAAAGATAAAAAATAAAAAGATAAAATAGCATAAAAAGATAGGACATAAAAATAACATAAGAACATAACTGAATATGCGCCATAAGAACATAATTAACATAAAATGATAAAAGAAAAGGAGAGGAAAGATAGAAAAGAGATCACTCATCCACATGAATGTGCGCTCTCCATTTTGCTCTCTCCATTTTGCTCTCTCCAAAGTCATACTCTCATCCAACCCAAGAAGACGTATATGAGCTCTGATTCCTCTAATCCAAGTCCGATTGAGTCTTCCTCTCCCTCTCCTCTATGCTTCTTCTCCCCACCTCTTAAGTAGGGAGAAAATGTGGATCGACCATAAAATCGGTGAAGTAAATGTCGGGGAACACATCAGGTTTTATTAAAATAATACTCCGTAATAATTACAAAAAGCAAAGGCGGCTGGACCAAATTACCAAAACCTTGCAAATAAAGGCATATATTCTCTAAATACATGAAAACAATTAAGAGAAAATAAAAGAAGAAGAGAAAACAAGTAAATGAAGTACATTTCCTAATAAGACTATTTGTTCTACTCCGTATATTTTAATAAACACATCAACAGAGTTAGCCAATGAAAAAAAATGCATGTTCTTTTTGTAGAACGCCGTAAAAGAAGCAAAACCAAAGCGATATAAACCGTGATTTCAAAATTTTGAAAGGCATAAAAACTGAACATTTTATTACGGTGTGAGCATGAAAACAAGACCAAACCGGTATCAAATCAATTCATAATGGTAACAAACTGAATATCGAGTATTTACGGTTTTATAAGTTTTTACCCCGAACTGAAACTGTATTGTTTGAAACGGGTATGAGACCGATCCTATATTTTGAGAATCAAAAAATACTAGATTGAGCCATTTAAAAATAATATGTTTGGGATTCTTATATTTTTTTCATTCCAATAGATCTCTTATTCATGCCAATAATTTTATCGCTCAAGTATGTATTCATCTTTCCCTAGAATAGCTTAATGTGTGTGTTTATATGAATTTTGTTATTCGTTCCTTATATAATTTATGTTATATTTTGATATATATTGAAAGAATGCTAAAGTTTTAAAAACCATCAATTACTATTAATTTCTAGTAATGTAGTATATATATGAATACTTGTAGTATCCTATTTATATAGTTTTGTAACTTAATTAATATGGATTAAATCTTATTCCCCACGGAGCACCTATAGATCAAAAGTAATATTACCGCACAGGTAGCTCAGTTGGTTGAGTGGTGGGAAAGTTGGAAGAATTATCAAAGATCAAAACCCCAGTGACTGTGTGGAGGTTACATCTCCCGCGTGTTGGATTGAACCTCTAGTGCGCACAAGTAAAAGTTCTAGCACCATTGTGGCGTCTGAGTCACTATGACTTACAACCTTCCAAAAGTCTTGACGGGTAAGAGCGTGGGCAGGGGCGTAGCCAGGATAGAAGATTGGGGTGGGTCGGTACAAAGATTTTTTTCAAATAAATTTTTACAAATAGATTTTTACACTAAAAATACAACAACAAAAAAACTTAGGGTGGGCCGGGGCCCGGCTGCCCCCTACCTCCGTCCATGGGCGTGGGGGTCATTGGGGTTGTGGATTCAACCTTGGAAGAATAGATCAAAACTAATATTCAACCTAGAAAAAAAAGAGTGTTGGATTTTTCTATTGTATTCAACAATTTGATGATATTCTTATATATTTTCACATGAATTTATTAAAGATGATATCTATTTGATGTATCATCATTTTGTTATATTTTTCTTTAGTTGTGTTCCACTATTTGATTATTTGTAAACTTAAAGACAAAAATGTAAGCATCTTAAATCTTTCCTAGCATTTTGTATATTCTTTCTTTTATTTTTTATCAACATTATGTGAACAGATCGGTATGATGGTATCTCATAATTGAGATATTTGTTCAAAACTCTTAGCATTTGTTTGACATTGTACCGTATTGTTTTATACCGCTTGAAATGATATGATATTGAATGATTTCATCTTTAGAGCCAGATCGTACTGAACAACTAGAGACCTTACAAGTATATGACGGATTTTACTAATTTATCCGAACTTTCGGAAACACACTCAACTCTAATTTTTATTTTAATGGAAAAGGCATTAGTAGCATGTCTATGTTTGGAATATAATCTAGTTCGGGCAATTCATTATTTATCATGGCATTATTCTAAACGACTCGTATGCAGATCGAGATGCCATCAATCGAGCACATATGCTATTAATATATGCGCATATTGTTCCAAATCATTTATTTATATGTATACAAGCAAGATGGCACTCGAGGTTTTCATTTGATTATTCAGATAACACCATCGTTAGCTTCTAAATAAAAGTTAAAAGTGACATTAACATTATCATTATTATTATTAAAGTAAAAATTATGTAGTAAAATTTGTTAATTAAAAAGAACTGACTAAAAATAGAGGAAAGACGATGGACGCCATATTGCATACGGACCCAGCTCCTGCACGCTTTTTTTATTCATCTCAACGAAATAGTGTTATTTTGTTTGTTTTTAGGATTGAATTTTGATGAAGACCAAATCATTACTGAAGAGACGTTAGCGTTTCCATTCGATCATTTTGCTTCTTCTGCTCCGCAACTCAAAGGCGCGTCGATGGGAAAATAAAGAAAGCTTAAGGTGGGAGAGAAAGTCAGAGCAGCAGAAATCGAGCGGGAAAGTGCCCCTACTGGCTTTAAGGTATTTGTTTGGACTTCGGAAGAAAAGTTTTGGTCAGTTCCGATTTGAAAGACATGGATGGATAAGTTGCGTTTTCGAGTGAAATTTTGCTGCTTTAAGGCTTTACACATGCTCTGATCCTCTCTCTTTTTTGTACTTCACTTTTCTGCTCCATATCCGACCCCATATTTTGCCGTATAAATTCAAGCATTTCTTTGCTTTATTTACATTTCTTATTAAGGCAACTCGCGGCCTTTATTACTTTATGTTGTTACTTGGAGTTTCAAACATCGAATTCAAGACATATACTACAATCAGGATAAACTTGTATGTTCACAGTGAGCTCCATAATTGTTATGTCTTTTTGTAATGATCCCTTCAGATTACCTGTTCATCTGAATTTAAAGATGCATCTATGATTTGAGTATTCTACTTTACTGGGGATTATACTAGTTTATGTGTGTTTGGAAAGGTCAACATACAAGATGGTGCTTAATTGGGCAGATCTATTATTGGTGCGAGGTTAATAGGCTATGATATTATATTAGGAGCAGTTCTTCCATTCTACAAGGTCAATCCCATTACGAAGAGTTGTCCAATATCTTAATATATTGATTTTTCATAATTGTATTTGGTTATGGGATAAGTTTTGAGTATACACATGTTTCTGGAAGTTTTTGCTGTCTGAACTGTTTGATGTATAAAACAAAATGGTCTACTGCTCATCCACTTAACAGTCATGCCACTTTTTAAACACTTTGTATTTCAGTTATTGTTCCATTGTATTAGTATTTCTTGAACACCGCTATACACATAATCATGACATGAGCTGACCTGATTAGTTAATCTGCATAACTACCAGTTTGTACACGATGAACTCAACATACACAGAGTTTGTCGCCACAAGAAGAATGGGAATATGTGATCCGATTCGTGAAATCGGGATGTGGGGAGAGTTTAATGGAAATGGCTATTCAAGTGCCTCAGCAACCATGATTTTAGAGGTTGAGAAGAACATGGGAAGCGAGATGCCAGTTTGTGAGACAACATTTAACCAAGACGTGTGCATTTGGTTCCTTTTGCATATCTTGATTAGTGTATTACTTATTCATTCGTTCATTACTTCAACCTCAACTGATTGATACCTTGTTATGGGTTTAGACTGAGGAAGCTTTGCATGAAATAGCCGGACCTTCTAACAAATATGAAGAGACATCAAGTAAATCAACTGATAAGGTAATGTCATTATTTTTGGTTGTGAATGTAATGAAACATCCTACTACAAGTGGGAATTGGAGTAGTTTTGAAATTTCTTTCCTTCTTGGTTTCAGAATACTGATACTCACGTATAACTTGTTCAATATATGTCTTTGTGGTTCTAGCTGCTAGTAAAAGACCTCTATTAATTTGTTTTGGTTTGGTATCTTGCAAGACTATTCGCTACCATTTTAGCTTCCGAATAGGGTTTTAAGTTTAATTGTGAGATTCTTACCAGCTAAACTGTCTAAACCTCAAAACAATCAATCTCTATCTGTCTTGAATGGTTGATGAGATCTTTGTTTGATCAACAGGTCTTGAGACGTCTTGCCCAAAACCGTGAAGCTGCGCGGAAAAGTCGCTTAAGGAAAAAGGTGCTATTCAGTTCTGGTGAAGTAGCATTGTTGTGAACGTATATGTTATTTATGCGTCTGGCATGCAACCTATAGTAGTAGGGAACTATTATATTCATCCAGGCAGTAATAAAGTAGAATTTATCTTGCATCCTAGGCCTATCTTCAGCAGTTGGAAAGTAGTAAACTCAAACTGTATCATTTGGAACAAGAACTAGCTCGAGCAAGATTATGGGTAACAATAATATCTTTACCCATCATATTTTTAGTTTGTTTTATATTTTCCTTTTTAGACCGCATTTTAGATTTTAGTATTATATCTAATAACCCTAAAAATGTGATTGCAGCAGGGTACAAAACAAACTAGTCACTCCGGAACTGTAAAAACAGGTTTGTAGGTCAATATTTCCTTTCCATAAAAAAAGTCTGATGCTCATACAGCGGAAACCATTCGTTTCCGGTGATTATAATGGAACCCTGCTTATTAACACTTTTCCATAAAGGGTGTTTTCAATTGGATTGATTTCACTCTCAGACCAGATCAAACCAGACTTAAACAATAGTAAAATACATATAAAACCAATATCAACCATTTACATGGCTGTTACAAATTTCTTGCCCGTATTATTTTATCTAAAACAGTACGGAGTATATAAAATGTGTAAATTTAATTTCAAAACTAAAGAGAGTAGAAGTGTAAAAAACCAATGGGGATACAGATCCATGAGGCAACTATCTTTCTCACAGAATAATCTTCAGGTATAGAGAAATAAAATTGACCCCTTTTTTTTATTTATTATCATCTGTTCAAATTGAAAGACATGTGCATCAGTTCAGTCTTATGTAATTGTTTTATTTGTAAAGATTCGCAACTCTTATATTCATTGTGGTTGCGCAAACAACTTTTGTCCTTTTATTGTCCCTTGAAGTTAGGCTCCTTGATTAACCTGCAGGCATTATCGCATTTGAGAAGGAGTATAGAGATTGGGTGGAAGAACAAAATAGGCAAATTGACATCTTGAAGAATGCTTTGCATTCTGAAGTTAGTGACATGGAACTAGGAATTTTGGTTGAAGCTTGCAAGAGTCATTACATCAATCTTTTGCGCAAGAAAGCAACTGCTGCTAAGGCGGATGTTTTCTACATTATGACGGGTTTGTGGAAAACACCAATTGAACGTCTTTACCTATGGATTGGGGGTGTTCGCCCTTCTGAGATTCTAAAGGTAATTAATTGTTTCATACATTCAGGTCAATAGGTTGACACCCAACTTGGTTTTATGAAGTACATAATTACATATACACAATACTTTTCTCAATCGGTAGTCAAATAGAGGTAACAAGTCCACTGCCCCACTGGCATTCAACAGAATTTTGTGGGTCTTGTCACATTTCTATTGGGTTTTACGGTCCTTCTATGTTCTGCTGTAGTCCCCATGCCGCCTTTTCAGAGTATATTGCTGGCAGAGAGAAAAAAACACAAGAAAATTTAGTACTTTTGACTTCTTCATCAACACAGACAGTAATAATGTATATAATCTATTTGTATGCACATACAGATTGTCTTGAAGCATGTCGGTCCCTTAGCAGAAAATCAACTTCAGAGTGTTCAGACCCTCCAACGAGCATGCCATCAGTGGGAAGAGGCTCTATCACAAGGATTAGTTAGACTGCATCAGTCTCTGGCTGATATTGTTGCAACTGGACTTCGGGGTAAAGCCACCTTCCTGCAGCCTGCAGTGGAAAATTTGGATGATTTCGTGAAGTTTGTAATTCAGGTATTTTCTTGTATTCTCTCTGTCTCTCTATTGTCATCATCAACAAAACAAGCTCATCGAAAATGCACATCAAATGTTATAATGCTCTCTTTGGGGTTCTAAACAACAGGCAGATAGTCTTCGCCAAATGGCCCTAGAAATGCTCACTGGCGTGTTATCTACACAGCAAACAGCTTGGGGCCTTCTTGCTTTCGGAGAGTACCTTCAACGTCTCCGTAATCTGAGCTCAGCTTGGACAAATCATTCAAATACACCAGCCTAAAATTCTGCCAAATGCACAGAAAAAGTTTTTCCACTTTCAAGATCACCACAGCTGAATTTGCTATACAGCTATCTCCCATTCGCTGTATTTGCAAAAGGTCTCCATCACGCAGATATAAATCGCAGCTGCTGTGAAATTTTGAGGCTGCTGCCTTGTAAAAAGTGTTGATGAAAATACATGTAGTTAAAATTTTATTTTCATTTACAACTCTGGTGTATATACTCAAATATGTGCTTAAACAATATCCTGAATCTTAAGTCTTAACACAAGATGCAGTCTTATGTTTTGTGGTCATGATATGCTCTGTGGTTCCATGTAGTTAATAATTACGTAGTAGCCACTCTGTCAAAAGCATAATAGCGATTAACATCAATTACTCATGAATAATCAGGACTTGCTTGGCCCAGTATTAGTTGAACATTAAAAAATATGTTACAAGCCTATAATAGGACTAAAAGATAGTTTATAGTTCTAAAATAGGACCAAGTATGTTTTCTACCCTCCCCCAAATAGGACTTATTAAGTCCTATTAAAAGAATAAGGTGATTAAAAGTTCTCAAACAGGAGTGAATAAGTCCGATTTTGAAAATAAAACAACGGTAATCTTATTTATAAACTTTTTCATTGTTGTAATCCTATTTAGAGAATTTTTTCTTTGTTATATTGTTACTCTTATTAGTCACCAACTCGTATCTATAAAGTTAAAAACAATAACCCAAAAACTGGTGTAATTCATAACCAACTCTATCAATCTGTCATCTAAATCAATCATATAATTTCTTATATCCTGAAGTAATCATCACATGGCTCAAGATTAATATTCCACCTCCGATTCATCCGATTCAGTGAATTTTGCCAACTTTACTTTCTTCTTTCTCATCAACACAAAATCAACCACACAATTTTTACTTTTCTGATTTTGCACTGCAATTCAAATGTAACGATGTCCAATGAGCCGGAAGTAATATATTTTCATTCTTATCTACACCGGACTATCAAATCTTGAGACAGAGTTTATATTTTTGTAAATTATTAAAACCTTTAGAAGTGTTAATGTATATACATAAATATACATCTTCATGCCACGTGGACATAATATCAATCCATCGTCTAAATCAATCATAATTTCTAAATCATCTAATCATCATGTGGCTCAAGATCAATATTATCTATATATCTATATCTCATCATTCATTTCCACACCAAATATCTTTGGAGAGAATATATACTTCCTTAATTACTAAAACCTTAAAAAGTGTTCTATCAACTTTGAAATCTTTTTTCTTAATCTCGTAATGACAATATTTTTTATTTCACCATCTCTCAAATTTTTATACAGGTGGTTATAGGTTTTCATTCTTTATAATGGTTTGAAGAACAAAGTTACTGTATAATCAATAGAAAGGGAAGAAATAGGTGCCAAAGGTTTGCAACTTTGCATCGTAAATTTCCTACCTTTTAGCATCCGCATCAGAAAGTGACAAGAATGATGATATATTACTTCTCTTTTTGGATGATTTACAAAGCTCTGATCGTTTTCAACAAAAAAGGGTTAAATTCTAATCTAGGAGAAAAATCAAAACATTCTGCTGTGGGGAAAATGCTGGGGAAAATAAAACATTAGTTCAGATTCAATAAATTTATCTTGAATTTGTTCTTTAGTTCAGATTCAAAACATTAGTTCTTCATAGGTAAAACAATAACACTCTTTCATTTCCTTAGTTTCATCCAAGTTCTAAATGACCCTAACTGTTACAAGGGAACTACTAACTTGTGAAAAATGTAGACTGAGAAAATAAGTCAGCAGAAAATGTTTTCATAGAACATGTTTTATTTGAAACTATGTTGTTTTATGTATATTATATAGCCCAGCGCCAAGCGCCTAGGCAGGCACCTAGGCTGCAACTAATCGGAGACACATAAATTGTATTTTTATCAATATTTTTGTATAAATATGATAAGTAATACATAATACAATGGTAGTATCGTGTTTGTGTGTATAAAATACACACACACTAACATGCATGAACGATAGAATTGTCTCATGCAATAATATGTGATAACTGATAACTAATCATTTAACCGCGTTATGTTATAATTATTAAGTAATAATGAAATTTAGGCATATATATAGTTTTTATTTCTTCATATTCGTGATTAGAGTTAAAGGTGCATATATCTTTTACAAAAAGAAAATTAAAAACAAAAAATTGTTCGTCGAATCAAGATGCCCTAGGTGGCGATTAGGCGCTCTAGGCGGGCAACTAGGCACCCTAGGCGGCTGACTTATTCACCTAGGAGCCAAATCAATTAGTTAGGGCGCCTAGACAAAAATCAGGGAGCCCGGCCACCGCCTAAGCGGGGACTAGTCGGACGCCTAAAGCAATTTTTGGAACAGTAGGGAGAATTAATAGGTTACTACAATTTTGGTTGTATGTATGTAAAAGACAACTACACTGAACAGTTCGACAGAGCTTTAGTTGTGTTGTGATTCTAAAACAACAAAAAGACCAAAAATCAAACAACAACAACACAATCAGCTCTAAAAGTCCCAAAGTAACTTCTTGGAATTGTACCAAATAACACCTGTTCTTCTAATTTAAGCTACCCAAAATAGCAGAACCATTTCAATAAGATGAATATACTTTTTCCATGTAGTCAACGAAACTAAAAGTATTTAAGGAATCATCATAATTTAAAAAGGCGCTGGAGACTGAAAATATAACTTCTTGTAACTGAATTTATGTGCAACAATTGGGAATAATCCCAATGGCATATTTAAATGCAGAGCTATATAGACCTATATACATCCAAAATGTAACTTTCTTTTTGCCCAGACACCAAACTAAAGGTCAAGAAATGAAGTAGTCTAGAATGGTATCGAGAATCATTGAGATTGCCTTACCTACACCAAACAATATTTCATGGGTGAGTCTGATCTAGCTAATGGTGAGGGCCAGATAAAACCAAGGCCACAAATGGCTTGTTGATGAAACAAGTCTGCGACCAGCCGACAACTTGTTCACATTATGTGCATCTGAACTTCTAAGAACTAGAGTACACACCAAATTTTGAGTCATACCCCGTGATCTTCAAATTCGGTGCAATAGTATGTCATGATAAAAAATGGGTCAAAACCTCTTGCAATTTGATAAATTATGCATGTAATGTCCGTCTCTCTATACTTTAGTACAGGAGTAAGACTGCATACATCCGACCCCCCTACCCCACTGAAGGTGGGAGCCTTTGCGGCGATGGGATAATGATGATGATGATGCATGTAATATCCGAGAACAACAAATTTAGCTGCTGAGAAATACATGTCCTTTTACTGTTATGATTAATCATGCATCTAATTTATTACCTAAATGTATTATAACTATAACTTAAAAATTAAAACAAAATACCACACATTTTTGCCTAACAATTAATTTTTTTGTTCAAGGGTATTACGTGCTTAATATAAACTGAAGGTGTTTTATGTATATTTTGAACCGCAAGGGCTCATGTGCATAATTTATATATCAGATGGGATTGACACATTAAACCGTGCAACTTGAATAACCCAAAGAGAACTTACTAGGGAAGCATACTTGATTGCTCTGTTTCCCTTAACATATGTGTTCAGTGTTCTTGCTTGAGTACTTTCCCCTGTTTGGTTTTCTGTTGTAAGTGAAGATGACCTGAATGCTCCACGTGCAGCAAGAAAAATATTGTTATTCGGTATGATCCCATCTCTGTCCATATATATCAACAATTCCTCAACCAGTCCTTTCATTTCTGCTTTAATATAAGCGTTACACAGAAGTTTATACGTTGAAGAATTGATTGGGAAGGTTTTAGAAAAACGCACTCTCTCAAACAGAGTATGTTCTTCCATAATCAACCCATTTGTGCAATACACATCAAGCATCGAGTTGAGAGTTGAACCCCTTTTATCCCTTTCACTCTCAACCATCCGATCAAACACATCCTGTGCCCTAGAGACCGAATCACACTGCCCATATGCCATTATGAGACATTCATACGTGAATACGTTATGTAACTTGGCATGTACCCCATGTCAATCATATTCTGAAAAACCCTTTGTGCACACTCCTTCCGTCGTGCTTTTCCGTAATTCACAATCATTGAATTGAAAGTGGCAAGAGTCAGCTTCTCCTTCGAGCACAACAAGCTCTTGAAAACTTGTTCCATCTTTTCGAATTCTTGATTCTTCCCATACGCGTCATTGCGTCAATCAACAAATTAAATGTGATTATGTCCGGTTTGATCCGATTATTACTTCTCTTCATCCAGGTTAAAACAGATTCCATATCCATAATCATACTGTTTTTCCCATAACCATCCATAACACCGTTAAAGGTGAAGATGTCAGGGGCAACAATGCTCTCCTCAAGATCTCTGAACAAAAAGTTCACTTGATCGACATCCTGTGCTAGAGAACAAGCTCTCAGGAGAATGTTATAGGTGACAATGTTGGGGATACACCTTTCCACACCTTTCATCTGGTTGAAGTACGCAATAGCCGTATCTAAGGCCTTTGTCTTATCACGGAAAGATGAAAGGAGATGAACAGAGATTAGGGCATTGTAGACTGAGGTATCTGGTCTACAGCCACTATTCCGCATCTCTACAAATAACCAAATTGCCATTCGGGTCTGCCCTTGCCTCCCCATCACGGATATCAATTTCGAGTATACCTCGCTGTCAGCTATATACCACCGCTGCTTTTGCATCCATCTGAATACCTAACAAGGGAACCACGCTTCACATACTCCGCTGCAATTTCACACGCAGAAACAGTAAAGTACGGTGTAGAAGGAGGGAACAGATCTAACCTCGAGGCATTGTAGCCATTGGCCGCTCTTGCCAAGCTCTTCAAATAGGATGATACAGTGCTCCGTACGAACCATTTTCTCGTACTTGTTGAGGGTGCAAGATAAAGGCTTTTTCTCCGTCAAGTTCTTTATCCGTAAGGCGACCAGCTCTTCAGCCTCCGAAGGGTTCCGGGTAGCTGGACCCGTTTTTCTTCTGGGTCGGGTCGAGATGCCACTGGTAAGAGCCGGCGGCTCCTTCACTGCAGCAACAAATAGTATGGGCTTGGTGAAATCGGACGAAAATGAGCGAGTGAGTTTAGAGTTGAAGGAAAGCTGAAGGTATGTGGAAGGTGAGCGAGGCAGCACGAACTCCATTTTTCTACTGCAACAGGATATTTCACGTAAATTTTACTCCCTTCCTCTCCAGATTAACTTCTAGCTTTCTTTTAACTCAATTACTAAATTAACTTCTCATTTCATATTTGACAAATTCTCTGCGTCAAAATGATGTCAAACAGTGTCAAAACAATAAAATTTACAATTTATTAAATTTAGTTTTTTAATACTTGTATATGTGAAATTCAAGCGGGAAGTTAATTTCGAGAAGAAGGGAGTATTACTTTTGGTACATAATTTTGTTTTTCGCTTATATATGATCTTTTTATTGTTATTTCGGGTGGTTAAAATCACCGGAGAGATGTTGAAAATTGGATGAAAAGATCAGAAATGATCAGGAAAAGATCAAAAGTGAATAAAATGAAAGACACGAAGTAAATGTGAAAATGACATAAAATTTGTAGAATAAAAATGAAATTAATTTTTATTTGGGAGGTTATATGAAGATGCAAATTAACTTTTAAAAATAACAATTGATGTAGTTTAGAAAACGAAAATAGAGAGATTTTTTAATAAAGTAGTTTATGTATAATATAAATGGCTTGCTTTCCACCGTTTGTGTGTGGTTCCAATTCGATCGTCACGCAAGCAATTTCAATGGCTCAGGTGAGGCATGTGGAGCGCGGTAGGTTGGGGTGATTCGACGCTATTTGGGTTGGCTGGCTTCAGAGGAGGGTTGATCGGGGAAAGTAGCTGCTTTGTAAGAGATGGATATGATGGGTAGGGGGCACGACAGATGGTGGACGGGGCAATAGGATCTTGCTCTGACGGTGGGATAACTCAGATCTGGGCTAGGGCGGAGCAGGGGAAGATGATGGATGCTAAGCACAAGTTCTACAGGTGAAGCTTGTAGACCAGATTGTAGTAATGAATAGTCATATTTATGTAAATATGTTTTGTTTGAGTAATTGTTGGGAATATTTTATGATGTTCAATCTAGTTAGTTATCTTTGTATTTGTGTAGTTATCAATTAAACGTGTAATACGGGGCACAAATGTGTATCAGCCCGGGGGCTTCCTTGTAACCCGTAAGTTAGCCAACTTCTCCTATAAAAGGAGGCTAACTTACGGGAACCCTAACGAATCGAAAAAGAGGCTTAGAGTGCGTAGAGGCGAGACAGACAGAAGGGTTTCCGCTGCTCTCCTTCTCGAGGGAGAGCAGCGGGGTTTCATACGGTATACCAGATTCGTGTATAATATCGACATTCTTCCATCTGCTTCTTCGTTGTTACTTGCTTACGATTGTTTTGATTGTTGAATAAAGGGACTAACAATTGGTATCAGAGCCGAGACGTGAAAAAGGTTGAATCTATCTGCATTTTTTGAATCTGCTTTTTCGACAGACTCAGTTTTTCTCTAGTATTTCATTATCTCGATTTTTGCCTTTGTGATATTGTTTTTGGTCGAAACTTTGTAAAAATTATACTGTTGGAATCGCCTCCTCTTACCGATTCTACATCACTTCTTTGTTTTCGATTTCTGCAATTTTTCGATTTCGAAGATCTCTACACTGAGATCTCGAGATCCTATTTTTTTCACCGCTGCAGAAACGATTTTGACTTGAATTCGGTACAGGAGGAATCACAAGATCAAGGGCTTTTCAAAACTGTTTTCAAAATTTCAAAACTCGAAATTTTCAACTTGAAAGATTTCGAGATTTTGTTAGATCTCGATACCTTGGAAGATCTCGAGATTCTGGTTTTTATATGACAGGTAAGATTTCGAAGTTTCTGAAGATTTCGACATTTTACGAATTTCTTGATGTTTTGAATCTTTCAAAGTTTGGAGTTTCTTGAAACTCAAAATCGTTCGAAGCTTGATATCTTTCTGTTCAGAACATTTCGAAGCTTAAATTATAGGATTTTTGGATGAATCTCTGCTTTTCAAAGTTCTTCAAAGTTTTCGATGTTCTGATGTTTTTCAAACAGCAAGTTTTCGGTATTCTGACGCTTTCGAAACTCCAAAGTTTTCGATGTTCTAAACTGATGGATAATGTACCCGGGGGTACCTTATCCGAGGGGTTATTGCGGAGAATAACTAGAGAGAAGTCAGAGCAAGTAAGTAAGAGAGAGAGTGTATATCAGATATGTATTCAGCGTATTTTGCTTCTGGGTTACAAATGGTGAAATGGGGTGCTATTTATAGTAGTAATAAATGCCAGATAGGGACACGTGTCAAGCGTCCATTGGTCGAGGGGTCACCTCAACTGGTTGGCGCTGGCAATCGCATGTGGCCGCATTTAATGCGGCTGTTGGATGTGACGTCGTACTTGGTACGGTGATTTCGGCGCATGTGGAGTGGATATTATGTCGAGGAAGGTGTCATCGACTGCAGGTGATTAGCCGAGGGCTCTGAGTACCGAGGACCCCCTTAGTGCCGAGGGCTCTAGGTGCCGAAGGCTACTGAATTTCGTCGTTTTCTCCTAGTAACTTTGTGTGCTTGAGCTGGCAGTCCTGTGAGAATTTGGAGCATTCGGCCAGGGGGCCGAAGGCACTCCCAGTGTGCTGTGTGGGTTGCTCAGTACTTGGGGCACCGTGTTTTGGGCCTGCTGTGCCCCCTGGGCCTATTGGGCCTTTATCAGAATAGTAGGAGTCTATGGGCCGGGGGTTCCTGGGCCATATACTCCATCATAAACATTTTGAAATTCTAAAGATTTTGAAGTCTTGAGGTGTTGTTTTTGCAGGTGGATTTCGACGTTCTTCTAAGGGATAAACTCGAGATTGTAATCTCGAGGTTTAAACCTCGAGATTACAATCTCGAGGTTTAAATCTCGAGATTGGGATCTCGAGATTTAAACCTCGAGATTGGGATCTCGAGATTTAAACCTCGAGATTGGGATCTCGAGATTTAAACCTCGAGATTGGGATCTCGAGATTTAAACCTCGAGATTGGGATTTCGAGGTTTTACCTTAGAATTTTCTTTAAAATCCACCTGATCTCGATATTCAAGGTCGAGAATAGCAATGTGACCCACCTCTTATTATATAGGGAATATGCACAAATATATCCATGATAATCTTATTTTGGATTATATGAACATTTTTAGTATGGGGAAAATAATTAAAATACCTCAAACTTTGAAAGGGTGTGAGATAAACACCCCAAACTTTCATATGTAATTTAAATACCACTACTTTATATAAAAAGTTATTTTAACATCATGATCATGTAATAGTATTATTTATTTCAAAAATGTAAAGTTGTGGTGTTAATCACATTATTTAAATGGGAAAATAAATAAAATACCCTAAACTTTACATAGGTGAGATGTCCCCACTCCTAACTTGTCCACATTGTATAAATATCTCATACTTTTTAAAATTGAGATATTTATGCCCCATGTCCTACTAAACCATCTAAGAAAGCACACATTTTTTTGGGAATCATACATCTTTTTTTCTCGACTAAATCTATTTAATACTCCCTCCGTCCCTTAAAATTTTGCCATTTTTCCTTTTTTGAACGTCCCAAAAAACTTTGCCACTTTCCCCTTTAATCAATTATTTTGTGGTTTCTGTTATTTCTCTCTCGTCTGCACAAACCTCAACCACACAATTTTTACTTTATTATTCTCCGTACCGGTCAACTTTGCCAAAGTTTTAAGGGATGGAGGTAGTAGTTTTTAATTTGAGAAATATTATTTGTTAATTAAAATATGGTACAAAAAGTTTAAACAAATAATGTTGTGGGTATTTTTAAACTTGGACAAGTACGGGGTGGGGAGCTCACACCAATGCAAAGTTCATGGTATATTATATATTTTCCCCTGATATTATTATTGTAATTTTATAAGTATATACTACTTCTGTCCCCCTATTATTGTCTTATTATTGGGATATTGATCCAGAGGCCGAATACCCGGATCAAGAAGGCCCAAGATACCCGGCCCAAACAACGGGCCCATCACTCTATGATGAGTAGATCCAGTGAAGAATTCATGTCGAACGAGATTCGGCCCAAGTAAGGGTTGACCCAGTAAGAAGACATACCGAACGGAGTTCGGACTATATATCATACTTGGGCCAATTTGACAGCGTCTTCAGCATAGCCCAACATCCCGTTCGAGCAACGGACAACCGGCAAGTGGCCAGGTGCAATTAATGCCAGATTGTGACATCAGCAAGTGGAAACCTGGGTGACCAAGTCGGTGGAACAACAGCCAATCAGCATAGGGCAGCCCATGCTCTCCATTAGTATAAATAGAAGGTTTAAAATCATTGTAAGAGTTAGCATTTCAATACTCAGACTCTAGAATAGCATTATTGCTCTTATTTCTTGTATTAAAGCATAGTTTCCGACCTAACGATCGGGAATTTCCTTGTAATCAGACTGGTTAATTAATATAAGTGAGCTTTTGAGTATTAGTGAGTTCATATTTTATATTTGGTTATACACTTTGATTCTGTACCATTCCTGATATATCCAAAGTTCGTGTTGGGCTTTCGGATCTACGGGATTTACCTTCAACATTGGCATCGTCTGTGGGAAACTGTTCAAAAAGTTTCACATTCAAATATCCTAAAACCACTATTTTCGAAAATGGTCAGAATGAGTTCTTATCACACAAACGACGGTTCACGCCGTCACGGAAGGAGTCACACCCCGGGGAATCAAACCCCTCAGGGACAATCCAGCCGAGGATCGTATCCTCGTTTTGATGGGGATTTTGTGATTCCTGAATCTCTAAGGAGAAATCCTCAGGCCATGCGAGATATGGCCCAGGTCATGCAGCATATGGCAAACGAGGAGGAAGGAGGGTCCAATTTTACAGGGGAGACTCCACGCACGGAAACAACCACAACGTCATCCCGTTCGCATGCCCATCGGGATAATCGCCGTAGCGCCCCACCAACAGCGCATCATAGTCCCAGTGACCGAACCCCGATCGGATCACAAGCCAGGGGACCAACTCCTATTGGTCATCATTTCCAGTATGCCGAACGGGATAATACCAGGGCCGCTCAACGATATTGGGACCGGGAGTATACAGACATGAGGGCTCCACCACCGCCCCTTTTGACGGCCCAGGAGGAAGAAATGGTTGAGATGAGGAGGCAGATGAACGAGATGCGGGATCAGATGAACAGGGCGCCTGTACAACCTGCCCCAGTTCAGCTCGGAATTACTTCCCCTTTTACCAAGGAAATCATGTATGCGGACATCCAAGGAGGTGCTAAATCACCGACCGGTCAAATCTATGACGGGGTGGGAGATCCCCATGTGCATTTGAGGAGTTACCAAGGGGGACTCATGCTACTAGGAGCACCCGAGGCTGCTATTTGCCGGTTGTTTTTTAGTACGCTCAGAGGGCCCGCCCAGGAGTGGTTCGGGACACTGCAACCCGGGTTGATCAACAGTTTCGCCGAATTGTCGACGTTATTCTTGGCCCAGTTTGCTTCCAGTGCCAATCCGAAATGGCACTTCAGCTACTTAACCAGTGTG